GACAATCATGGGTTGCTGAAGATCAATTCCCTCCCGGATCTTCACGGGTCTCGGTGGGACATGATACAAAAAGTGCACTTTGTTAAACAACAAACAAACAACCAAATATAACCAAATGTATTTGATGTGAATCGCATCATTGTATTGATACCTAACTCTAACATCCTCTTGTGGAAGGCTTTAGAAACTTTAACAGAATTTAACTGTTTATTGTTATTTGAGTCACCTAGTAGACCGTGCCAATGATTGTTTTCGTAAACGTGACACATAATCTGACACATTTGTGCTTTAATGTGCTTTTACGTTCTTTGAGCCCGTGGCTTTGAAACTCTGAATAAATGTCTCTCTCAGATGATTTGAGGGGTACGCAATGCATGTTATTGTTTGAGAAAATTGAAGACACACATTTAAAAGTCAATGCGAAGCGAGCAATAACATTTGAATGAAGCGCTGAGACACCATGGATTGTGTAAAGGTCTACATGAAGTACACTAAACGCCAAAAGAAACGTTAACCTCCTTCCTTAATGACGCGGGTACCTATCTACAGCTGGCGTTGTGATGCGTGGACGTCCACTTCTTGGTCTATCTACGGTGATCCCAGTCTGTCTGAAGCCCCGAATACATCTTGCAACCGTGATACGGTGGCATCCGAGGGCGTTGGCAACAACATTGTATGTCGACCCCATCTGCACCATCCCAATCGCTCTTTCTCTCTTCAGCTGTTAATCGTGGCATATTTCTCGTACTTGTGTATCATATCATGTATTCTAGGCTCTCTTCATACCCTATAGAATCATTCTACATGTGAAATGGATGCAAATACTGCTTGAATATTGCTGCGTTTTGGCGATTGATATTGCTATGTGTAAACAGAAAATATAAAAAAATGTTACTTTGCAAGCAAAAATGTTAACAAAGATATGTTTAGATGTTCCTAAACATTTGTTCACAATATCAAAGGCACGTTTTACTTGTTTTCATTAATGCAAATCAGCAGAAAATGTTTTAAGAGACTGAAATCATAGGAATGATTTTTTTTTACAATTTTACACACTCTACAACAGTTGTTTCTTGTTTGAATAGTTGAAAAATGGTAACTTTCAATGGTTTATCATTGTCCCAAAACAGAAATTTATTTCAACCTTTCTTTTGGACATCAAAATCACTGTTATTGGTTTATTTATATAGGACAATTTAACTCTTCTGAAAAATATGCATTTCACCTAAATATGAATGCATTTGAGAATTTTGTTTCGTGATTTGCATAAAGCTGTGTTGTTAAGTTTTCTTGTAAACTAAAACCTTCTAACATATCTTTGATAGTGTTTCGGTAATTCATAAAGGTAGGAAGGTAACGTTTCTTTTGGCGTCTAGTGTATGTATCGGATTTAAACAATGATGGGGGCGGAGGGCTTTCCCAGTGGTTAAAGCATTCTCTCGTCACACCGAAGACCGTGGTTCGATTCCCAACATGGGTACAATGTGTGAAGCCCATTTCTGGTGTCCCCCTAGGTGGTATTGCTGGAATATTGCTAAAGGGGCGTACAACCATACTCACTCACTCACTGAAACCGTTATGGACGAACATGTTTCAGTATATTAAGCATTGCATGAAGTCACAGTTGAAGTTGACCTACTTCGAGTTATTCGAAGTTCCACACAGCCTCAAAATGTTGACTAAAAAAAAGAGGTAATAGGGAAAATATAGGGACCAGGCTGTTTCATCGAGTAAGTTCTACATATCAAACTTCAACGCAACGGCGTAACACGAAGCAATGATAATCACTGGAATGTCAGGTCCAGACTCGATTGTTTACAAACAGCATCGCACAGCTGTAATGTTGCTGAAACAAATATATACTCATGATATAGTCAGAATTATACACTCGACTCAGTTTAGCAGAGATTTCTTATGGGTAAAGAAAGGGTTTTGTCGCTTCTATCTAGCGAAAATCTCAAGCTCCTGAGAGTAAATGGGCAGTTTATCTAATAACAAAAACATGCGATTACTATCTATCTGTAACATGGCAGAACCTTTTTTTCACAGAACACACGTTCTGATGAACGAAGGTAACATTTATAGAGTGGCATTGACGCAGATGCAGTGGAAGATACAGAGACTGGGTCATCTGTAGAAGAAGGGTTGGTTATCTGCACGCTGTCATTGTAAGGAATTGATAAAGATCTGGTAATCATGGCAACCTGATTTAAAGGAAGTGGTTCATACTACCGTGAGTACTGCAATCTCCACAGCTAATATCCTTGTAATAAAAATCTCTTTTATGATCATCTCCCAAACTGATCTGGAACACGGCCAAAAGGCCAGACTTTTTAGCTATATATTTTCTTTTTCTTTGCATAATTCGCTTCATGAATCTCATTTGTGGGACTACAAGTACATCAAATTAGTCTGTGTTTTTTCTTCACTAACACCAACTTGCCGCACACTCTTGAGTCCCTCTCTTCACAAACACATCACTGCCTCATACGCCTGTGTCCCTCTTCACAAACACATCACTGCCTCATACGCCTGTGTCCCTCTTCACAAACACATCACTGCCTCATACGCCTGTGTCCCTCTTCACAAACACATCACTGCCTCATACGTCTGTGTCCCCTTCACAAACACATCACTGCCTCATACGTCTGTGTCCCCCTTCACAAACACATCACTGCCTCATACGCCTGTGTCCCTCTTTACAAATACATCACTGCCTCATACGCCTGTGTCCCTCTTCACAAACACATCACTGCCTCATACGCCTGTGTCCCTCTTCACAAACACAACACTGCCTCATACGCCTGTGTCCCTCTTCACAAACACATCACTTCCTCATACGCCTGTGTCCCTCTTCACAAACACATCACTGCCTCATACGCCTGTGTCCCTCTTCACAAACAAATCACTGCCTCATACGCCTGTGTCCCCCTTCACAAACACATCACTGCCTCATACGCCTGTGTCCCTCCTCACAAACACATCACTGCCTTAAACACCTGTCCTTCACAAACACATCACTGCCTCATACGCATGTGTCCCTCTTCACAAACACATCACTGCCTCATACGCCTGTGTCCCTCTTCACAAACACATCACTGCCTCATACGCCTGTGTCCCTCTTCACAAACACATCACTGCCTCATACGCCTGTGTCCCTCTTCACAAACACAACACTGCCTCATACGCCTGTGTCCCTCTTCACAAACACATCACTGCCTCATACGCCTGTGTAGCTCTTCACAAACACATCACTTCCTCATACCCATGTGTCCCTCCTCACAAACACATCACTACCTTACACACCTGTCCTTCACAAACACATCACTGCCTCATACGCCTGTGTCCCTCTTCACAAACACATCACTTCCTCATACGCCTGTGTCCCTCTTCACAAACACATCACTGCCTCATACGCATGTGTCCCTCTTCACAAACACATCACTGCCTTACACACCTGTCCTTTACAAACACATCACTGCCTCATACGCATGTGTCCCTCTTCACAAACACATCACTGCCTCATACGCCTGTGTCCCTCTTCACAAACACATCACTGCCTCATACGCCTGTGTAGCTCTTCACAAACACATCACTTCCTCATACGCATGTGTCCCTCCTCACAGCCAACACACACATCACTACCTTACACACCTGTCCTTTCACAAACACATCACTGCCTCATACGCCTGTGTCCTCTCTTCACAAACACATCACTCCCTCATACGCCTGTGTCCCTCTTCACAAACACATCACTGCCTCATACGCATGTGTCCCTCTTCACAAACACATCACTGCCTTACACACCTGTCCTTTACAAACACATCACTGCCTCATACGCATGTGTCCCTCTTCACAAACACATCACTGCCTCATACGCCTGTGTCCCTCTTCACAAACACATCACTGCCTCATACACCTGTGTCCCTCTTCACAAACACATCACTGCCTCATACGCCTGTGTCCCTCTTCACAAACACATCACTGCCTCATACGCCTGTGTCCCTCTTCACAAACACGTCCCTACCTCATACGCCTGTGTCCCTCTTCACAAACACATCACTTCCTCATACGCCTGTGTCCCTCTTCACAATCACCATACTGCCTCAAACGCTTCTCTCCCCCTTCACAAACACATCACTGTCTCACACGCCTGTGTCCCTCTTCACAAACACATCACTCCCTCATACGCCTGTGTCCCTCTTCACAAACACATCACTGCCTCATACGCATGTGTCCCTCTTCACAAACACATCACTGCCTTACACACCTGTCCTTTACAAACACATCACTGCCTCATACGCATGTGTCCCTCTTCACAAACACATCACTGCCTCATACGCCTGTGTCCCTCTTCACAAACACATCACTGCCTCATACACCTGTGTCCCTCTTCACAAACACATCACTGCCTCATACGCCTGTGTCCCTCTTCACAAACACGTCCCTACCTCATACGCCTGTGTCCCTCTTCACAAACACATCACTTCCTCATACGCCTGTGTCCCTCTTCACAATCACCACACTGCCTCAAACGCTTCTCTCCCCCTTCACAAACACATCACTGTCTCACACGCCTGTTTCAATCTCTTGACAAATACAACACATCTGTGTCCCTCTTTACAAATATCTGCATGAAAACGCAAAAACCGGTCAGCGACAATAAGCATCAAGGCAAACCGATACAGAGAAAGGGCAAAACATATTGTGGACGGTTGGAAACAAAAGTATAGGATAAAGCATGACATGCTTGCATTACGAATGCCCGAGGGTCATGCTTTATCCAACTTATAAACCGACCGAAGATATACTTTAGATATAATTTCAATATTTGGTATTTACTATTGAAAGCAACTGGGATGAGACTGGCAGCCGACGCCTCGCCTTGCACGCGCAATGCACGTGCTCTGCACGCGCTACCCGTGCCCTGCACGTGCGCTTCCCGCACTACCCGTCTTGGGAGGAACACACGGTTCATGCTGACAAAAAATCTTCGTCTTCACAGCGATCCTTCGTAGCCTAGTGGATCAAACCGCCAAGCGCGAAGTGTTTCGGGTTCGAAACCGGTTCGAAGTTTTCAATAACGTCATATTTCACGATCGCATTCAGTGATGGCAAGACAAAGTCGTATCAATCTTCAAAACAAGTAATAATTCAAAGTCAATTGCTCAGAAAACCCCCGGGCAGAGGGACGATATTGAAGTAATGCCCCCTAAGCAACGGGGCATCGGGATATGACAAGAAATACAGCCTCGTTAGAACAATAGAGTGACGCCACTGGAGGTTTATAATAGGGCTTAAGGTTGAGGTTAGTAAGGAGGCTGATAGTTTACAAACAAATTAATAACAGAAACTGCGCTAATGTTTGTATAATAAGTTGTTCTTAAATGTTAGTACAGACGTAGCGTTAATCAAGCTTACTGTATTGTCATTGAAGACCGCTTTCAGTACTGATATCTTTATATATCTAGAGTTAGTAAGTATCATACTTGATATTAATTCTAATTACGTTTGTAAGAGATGTTACCCAACGTTTATCAACAGGACCTCCACGAGCAGTTCCAGCAAGAACGTTCGTGCTAAACTCTGCCCTGTTGAATGTAAGCCATTGTATGCTATAACTTTCTCAAAATAAGACTTCCCATAAATTGTATGAAACGCAATAGCTAACTAGAATATAAAATCTTTCACTTAACCGCCGTAATAAGAAAACGCACTGTTGTTTATTGAAGAGCACTCCGTTACCGTCCAAATTGCCACTTCTCCAGACTTAAACGAAATTCCAAGATCCATTTATCAAATCATTAAGTGAACTCCAAAGGAAGGAGCTCCTCTAATTGGCAGAGGTAATGTTGCACATTAACTGATGAATCTGATTATCCTGCATATCGCGGACTAACAGGGTATCAGTCTGCTTGTTTCCCATCTGTATCTCTCACTGAACGACGGGTAATGGTTTCAGTGCTTCTCACAGAGCCTTCTTACAAAACTACCAGTCCCTCGGCTCTGCCACCAGAGATGCGCTGAGATTAATTGAACAAGCAGCTTTGAGAAACGCCGGTGCCTGTGTTCACTTGCACGAGTCTCGAAAGGTAATGATTAATAGTTTAAATGATAATTTCTAAACAATATTAATATCCCTCTAACAGACTGGCGTCCTTAGACTCGGGGGCGTAAAAACAGGTTTCAAGACGAAACCATATCTACCTAACCATAACTACAATTTCATTTTGATTTTCAATACTTTTCATAAATTACCACCACCCCCCACCCCACTCTGACTGTCCGCTGATCTAGACCTGCATCTTTACAGGATAGAATTACTATACATGGGCTAAACCTTCAGTACAGCCTTAAAGCTTGGAGCAAGGCTAGCGCCTGTGTTGGACGGCGCGACGTAGTTAATGAACCACTATTTATGTTCGGTGTGCATATGGTTAGAATCTAATCGTTAACATGCACAACAATTTATATCATGACTGTTTAGAGGGAAACTTGTAGGGTTCTTTTAATCAGAAGGTAATGTGGGAACTCAATGTAACATAATCCCAGAGCGATACGATTCTAACAGCACTAACTGTACAATCACATCAAGACGATTTAAACTGTTTTCCCCTGTGAACATCCGGGTTATATTTTTCCAGTGTCGCTATATTAAAAACGGCCGGAGTAATTGTTTTTCTTTTAATTCTAAATTTTTACTTATTACTGTATTTAAAATGTTTCTGAATAAATAACAAGTGTAGAGACATGGAAACTAGACTAACGCTTAGTCTCAAAATATGTATAATAGTATCAAATAAATCCATTTAGATTGAAAAGGCGTCCCAGAAAATCTGGCCCCGATTTCTCGAAACAAACTTATGTTTTTACTCAAATTTCAAACTGAGTTTGACAAGTTGAAACAGCTGGGTTTTTAACTCAACTGCATTTTAAAAATAAAAAAAGCCCAAACAACTTAAGTAATCCATCCACCAAACTCAAATTGTCTACTAAGTTTGAGTTCAATGTCGATTTCAGTTCATTCTGGCATATGCATTTTCTCAAATTTGAGTAAAAACTGTAACTTAAGTCAAAACTCAGACTTAAGTTTGTTTCGAGAAATCGGGGCCTAGACTTACTTCAAATAGTGCTTTAGCTTTGCAGGGAGGGCAACGCATTAGGGAAAATAATGTGGTTCAGGGACTCTGAGCCAGTGGTTTTAACTGTTTTCTATTACATCTGTAAAGCCTTAATTTGGTACCATGATTACTGCATTAAGTGAATTGCTATTCGTATGTTTGTATCCAAATAGAAACAACGAAATTCTTTCCGTGTTCGTAAGACATTTTGGCTAAAGGTAGAGTCGGTTGTACAGTTGTGACTATATCCTGTGTTTGTTTGACGCCACATTCAGTCTACAAACGATCGAGTCTGGGCCAGACAATCCAGTGATTGACACTATAAGATATAATGAAGGAGCATGAATTTATGAATCGGTATCAAATAGTGATGATATCAGGTGTTCGCGAAAACGTGAACGTATAATGCTCTACCGGTGGCACCTGTCATAAACATAGGCAAAGGCTTGTTCATCTGGAAACATTCGATATGTTTTCATCACTAAAATGTACTCAGGTCAGTTTTCAGCCAATCTGAAAGTTTCTCCCATATATCATGGATAATACACAATACACGAGTGGTTGTTTCAGATGCTTCATGACATAGTAAACAAACATGCACATGTTATATTTGGGATTACACTTTCTTAGTAAAGTACAGATTCTAGTACTTTTTTGGTTGAGTCCCATCCGGGATTCAAACCCACACCCTCATAGTCAGGCACCTAATCGCCAGCACACAAAGTCAGACGCCTAGACCGCTCAGCCACCGCGGCTTCCACAAAAATGAAGTCGGACAACTGGTAGTCTAGACTGAGGACTTTGTGTACCCCTCTGATAAGTGTTAATTGGCACGGATCCCACGGCCGAAAGCTATGAAATACACAATGCCAATTTAGAAAGTGGTCAAATGTAACATATGTTATATTTGGGATTACACTTTCTTAGTAAAGTACAGATTCTAGTACTTTTGTTGTCCGACTTACATTTTTGTGGAAGCCGCGGTGGCTGAGCGGTCTAGGCGTCTGATTCTAGGTATGGAAGAGCTTGCAGCTCCACGGATTCCTTATTGCTTCTCGGGATCAGTGCACAAGAGGTCCCCAACCTGGATCTAGTGCAATAGGTAGCAGAGGTGAGGTGAAATTGGGTTTAACGTCGTGCTTGAGAATATTTCGCTCATATGACGACGTGCATGCGTGTGTATGTGTATGTGCGGCAGTAAAGCATGAATACCCCACTCAGACACATTATACTGACTCCGAGAAGACCAGTCCTTGTTGTACCCATTAATGCCGAGCGCCAGGTAGGGACCAACAAGTACCATATTTTAACGTCTTTTGGTATGACGCGGTCGGGGATCGAACCCGCGACCTTCCGCTCTCCGGGCGGACGCTCTAACCACTGCACCACGGTGGCGGTCAATAGGTAGCAGAAGAAGGAGAAGAGAAGCAAAGTTGGAAACCTTTTCCACATCCATCAGAAATCGCTGCTAGCAGCAGAGTCGATTGTACAACCGTGACTATATCATGAGTATATATGTGTTCCAGCAGTATTACAGCTGTACGATGTTGATTGTAAACAAATCGTGTCTGGACCAGACAATCCAGTGATTGTCACTATGTGATACGAAGACAGCGCATGTGTTTATGAATCACAATGAAGTAATGATGATACCAGGTGTTCGCGAAAAGGTGAGCGTATCCTGCCCCACCGGTGACAGATTATTTTCTCACTTACACTCCCTGTTATTGCTACTTGATGTGGTAATGTCAGTAATGACATTGACACAGTTACTATATAATACTAAGACGTTACACGATATCATTTACTCGAGTACATCTGTCATATGGTAATGGGTAAGAATCAGTTACTCTAGTCCATCTGTCATATGGTAATAGGTAACAATCAGTTACTCTAGTACACCTGTCATATGGTAATAGGTAAGAATCAGTTACTCTAGTACACCTGTCATATGGTAATAGGTAAGAATCAGTTACTCTAGTACATCTGTCATATGGTAATAGGTAAGAATCAGTTACTCTAGTACATCTGTCATATGGTAATAGGTAAGAATCAGTTACTCTAGTACATCTGTCATATGGTAATAGGTAAGAATCAGTTACTCTAGTACATCTGTCATATGGTAATAGGTAAGAATCAGTTACTCTAGTACATCTGTCATATGGTAATAGGTAAGAATCAGTTACTCTAGTACATCTGTCATATGGTAATAGGTAAGAATCAGTTACTCTAGTACATCTGTCATATGGTAATAGGTAAGAATCAGTTACTCTAGTACATCTGTCATATGGTAATAGGTAAGAATCAGTTACTCTAGTACATCTGTCATATGGTAATAGGTAAGAATCAGTTACTCTAGTACATCTGTCATATGGTAATAGGTAAGAATCAGTTACTCTAGTACATCTGTCATATGGTAATAGGTAAGAATCAGTTACTCTAGTACATCTGTCATATGGTAATAGGTAAGAATCAGTTACTCTAGTACATCTGTCATATGGTAATAGGTAAGAATCAGTTACTCTAGTACACCTGTCATATGGTAATAGGTAAGAATCAGTTACTCTAGTACTTCTGTCATATGGTAATAGGTAAGAATCAGTTACTCTAGTACATCTGTCATATGGTAATAGGTAAGAATCAGTTACTCTAGTACATCTGTCATATGGTAATAGGTAAGAATCAGTTACTCTAGTACATCTGTCATATGGTAATAGGTAAGAATCAGTTACTCTAGTACATCTGTCATATGGTAATAGGTAAGAATCAGTTACTCTAGTACATCTGTCATATGGTAATAGGTAAGAATCAGTTACTCTAGTACATCTGTCATATGGTAATAGGTAAGAATCAGTTACTCTAGTACATCTGTCATATGGTAATAGGTAAGAATCAGTTACTCTAGTACATCTGTCATATGGTAATAGGTAAGAATCAGTTACTCTAGTACATCTGTCATATGGTAATAGGTAAGAATCAGTTACTCTAGTACACCTGTCATATGGTAATAGGTA